TCCCCCTTTGAAGCTTTGCCCTCTCCCACTTCTACGCCTTCTGGAACTTATCTCCATAAGGCATTATTAACCCATTTGCTATCAGCTGCCGTTTCCTATTGCAAGTTTTAAAGCAGCGTCATTTTTTTCCAGAACCCAGCTTGCCAGACATCCTATAATTCTGGGCTCCTCCATCTCAGATGTCAAATGGAGAGTCAAATGTCTCTATGCTCTGTTATCTGGCCGTCTTGCAACTCAGGAGGAAAACCACCAACTTAGCTTTCTGTTCAAAACACTGGAGAGGACACGGTGGTCTCCCATCTGAGAGCCATAAGCACTTTTTTTGATCCAAAGCAAAAATGGGCTGAATTTTGTACCAGCATTTTGAGAGTAAAGCCTTGCTTTCGGCAGCAGGTATTCTGACACAAACCCAACCTGCAGGCGGGGATAGGTCATATGTACCGTATTTTTCGGAGTGTACAACGCCCTTTTTTCCCTCCTAAAAGAGGCTGAAAATTTGGGTGCCTCTTATACTCAGAATGTAACCCCGCCCACCCGCCGGCCCCCACGCGTCCTGGCTGCAGAGATTGCCACCGACAATGGCTTGTGTTTTTGGGCTCCGCGTGTCGCGTTTTCAGCCTCCAAACCAGGGGTGAAATGCTCCCGGTTCGGATCAGATCGGGTGATCCAGTAGCGATCGCCGCGGGTGGTTCGGCAATCTGGTAGCGATGGTGGCGCAAAGGTCGGCCCACCTGCCCAGGTGTTGTTACTTCCTGCGCGTGCACTTCCAAACCGATAGGGAAGGTTAAGTAGATTTTCCTCCTGCTCCAAACACTCCGTTTGAGAAGCGTTCAAGGCTGTGGGGCTGGCCAAAGCACATCGCCAATCGCGGAGGCTGAAAACGTGACGTGGTGCCCAAAATGGCTACCTGGAACAGCTGCTGCCTTCTCTTACCCCTTCCGCGCTTCACCTGCTTTAGTCACTGGAGCTCCCTCTGACGATCAGCTGTGCTTTTGAAGCTGTTTTTCAGCCCCAATGCGAGCGAAGCTATCTTCCGTGCTTTGCCTGCTTTTCTAATTGCTGCTCCCTCTGACGATCAGCTGTGCTTTAGAAGCTGTTTTTTAGCCCCAACCAGCCCCAACCTCAAAACCAGCGAGCGAACTAATGTGCTGAAGCTGACCAGGCTAAGGACGCTAACCAGATGAATACCTGGTAGGCAGAATCCCCCCCCCATTTTCCTCCCCAAAAACTAAAGTGTGTCTTATACTCCAAAAAATACGGTACTTTTAGCTTGAGACTCTGAATCCATATCTCGGTATTTTTCAACCTTGGGAACTTTTAAGATGAGTAGATTTCAACTCTCAGAATTCACCAACAAGCCGTGCAGAGTTCAAACCAAGGAGTTTGGGGTTTTTTGGGGGGAGGAGAAACAAGATTGTGGCTTGTTTAATGGTCGAATTGTCCCTTTTGTAACTGCATTTCATCACACGCACAGCAAATCCTCCTGCCAAATGCTATTGTCCTATTAATACAAAAAGTAAATGAGATAAGTGTTTTATATACTGGTGCAGGCTTTCCCATTGGGTATCTGTTGGGCAGAAGTGGGCTTCAGCATTTAGTGACCATGGTGTACACAACAGATTTCCTGACGTTTCACCAGGAACTCTGGTTGGCATCTTCAGAAGTAGAATGATCTGCCATGCAGACCACAAGCAACTGAGCAGGGAGTGACTGAGTTCCGGTTTTTATACCCAGGTGTCCTGACTTCTGATTGGTCTTTAGCCAAGTGGTTTCTGATTGGTGCAGTTTAGTGTGCCCAATGCCAATTGATCATTTTGATGATGGTGGTTCTTCATTGGTGCTTTATGTCGGCTTCTGATTGGTCGTAGGTTCTGATTGGTTAGTCTCAGCAGCTATGTTCTAACTGGATCCTGGTCGGGGGAAGTTTCTGTTTTGCCCAATTTTGGGAGATGATTTCTGATTGATCCTCCTTTGGGGTAGGATCTTGGTGTGCCTCAGGACAAGAAGCCTGATATGATCACTATGATGTAGCACACATTCCCATTGATGATTTTTTTCAGGCTCTCCTAATCTGCAATGCCTCTTGTGTTTCTTCCAGTCGGGTGTGGAAACTGTTTTATGGCCCAATATCCAGAGTTACAGGGAATGCAATAAACCCCAGATGCTAGGAATGGGTCTCTGCCATCCTTGGTTAGTCAAAGGATTTCCTGGATTTTCTTAGCCAACTTTTAAATGACTGTAACGTGCTTTTCTATTTTTTTTCCTATTGGATCAGTGGCCTTCTCACTATGTAGAGCAGAAATGTATGCATGTATTTAAAAAGATGTAGAAAAGAAACCTGTTCTCTAGACCAGGGGTCTCCAACTTTGGCAACTTTAAGACTTGTGGACCTCAACTCTGAGAATTCCTCAGCCAGCTTTGCTTCAACTGGGAGTTGAAGTCCACAAGTCTAAAACACATGAAGAGCTTTGCTGACTGAGGAATTCTGGGAGTTGAGGCCCACAAGTCTAAAACATGAAGAGCTTTGCTGGCTGAGGAATTCTGGGAGTTGAAGTCTACAAGTCTTAAAGCTGCCAACGTTGGAGACCCCTGCTCTAGACCACCACACTCATTAAACCCTGAAGCCAACACTGCCCGACAAATACCGCTTCTTGGCCAACTCTTGCCAGTAGCCTCAATGCAGAAGGGATTACTTTAGAGAGCTCGAGTAGTTTACATGATCCTATTTCTGACCCTCACTGGCTCTCTGCCAGCAAAATGATATTCGGCTTTCCACCAGCTTGCAGCAACTCCAAACAAAATCAAAGTCCATCTGTGTTTATTCAGGCTTATATATCCAGAGAACTTACCCAGGGCTGTTTTTCATTTCTTCACACCCTTCCGAGCTGCCAAGCAATTTGTTCAGCTAGGCTTCTTGCAGGGACGCGCTCCTACAAAGAGTAACTGGTGCAAACTGAATGAGCTTTAGGCATGAAATTCAGTGGGAAGTCAGTTTATCCCTATTAAACCAAACTTCAGACTCGGTTCGCATCACCTGTTTAATAGGGAGTATCTTGTGTTTTAAGACCATAAAATGGAGTCAACAGATAGTCAGATTTAGCAAGCCCTAACTTGCACAAGGTTAAATTAACTCTCCCAATTCAGTGGCATTGCAGGCGTAGCAAAACCACATCAATTGTCCTCTTCTTCTTAGCTAAACCTCAAAGTTAAAGAGCTAAGAACAAGGAGTGGCTTTAAAACCCCCAAGTCTTTTCCATCCAGAATATACCTGCAAGTGAACAAGACATGCCCATTTGCCCAGCCAATGGGTAAGGAGCAGGTGAATTCAAATCTTGCTGAGAAGGCATCTAGATCCGGGTTCTCCAACCTTGGTAACTTTTAAGACTTGTGGACTTCAGCTCCCAGAATCCCTCAGCCAGCATTGGCTGAGGAATTCTGGGAGTTGAAGTCCACAAGTCCACAAGTCATCAAGGTTGGAGAACCCGGATCTAGATGAAGCTTTCTTTGGGGTGTATTGCTGGTTGGGGATTCTGTAATCACCCAAGGGGGATTTGTCACCCAAAGGGTGATTTTGGAGAAGGGCAAATCTATAATTAGTAAAGAAATCTGACTAGATTAGTAGCAAAGAGGCTATAAAGGGTTATATCATATTATGGTCAAGAAATGATCAGCAAGAATTGGTGTATGATTAAAAAGAGGGCACCCATGAAACATATAAAAAAGAAGAGTGGGTGTTGGGTCATGTAAAGGTGGTTCTCACCTTTAAAGCGCTCCACGGCTTAGGGCCAGGGTATTTACGAGACCACCTTCTGCTACTGATAACCTCCCACTGGCCAATACGCTCTCACAGAGAGGGCCTCCTCAGGTGCCGTCAGTCAAGCAATGTCGTCTGGCAGCCCCCAGGGGGAGAGCCTTCTCTGTGGGAGCACCCGCCCTCTGGAACGAGCTACCTCCCGGAATACGGCTGATCCCGGATCTCCGCACTTTCCGTAAGGCCCTGAAGACGTTTTTATTTCAGCAAGCTGGCCTGGCCTGAATAGGTTTTATGGGTTAGTTTTTTTAATTGTATAGCTTGGGGTTTTAAATTAGGAGGCCGATTAATTTAATTTATTTTTAGTTATCTTAACTTTTATATTGTATGTTATTTTAATTTTCGGCTGTTCACCGTCCTGAGTCCCTTCGGGGAGAAGGGCGGGATATAAATTCAATAAATAATAATAATAATAATAATAATGTAATCCCAGCTGCCATCTTTAATGTTGCACCTCAAACCCCCTCCTCCCACAATACACACACTGGGCGCCCCTGACCCTAATTTTTCTGTGGTTCACTTTGAGTTCTTTGTAAAGGCCCGCACACACGTTCATATGTAAACAGGCTGAACTAACATCTTGTAAACACGCACACACAAAAATCATATTATACATTTAAAATAAAAGTGCAAATCCGGCAAAGATGAGGAAGTAGGACACCTGACATTACACGCCAACACCTCCACCAAATGCTCTCCTTTTAAATGCTTAAATGAGAATAATCCGTTTTTTAAAATAATAATAATGATCAGTGCATGTGTTTTCAGAAAAGTAGTGAAATGCCCTCTTCTACCTCATGTTTTATACATCTTCAGACACGCATACAATAGAATTGAGGAACGATCCCAAATCCACAACGATGAACTCTGCGCTTCCTCCAGAATTCTGCCTCCCTTCCTCCCATATCCTAAAACAGAGGGTCAGCAACCTGTGGCTCTGGAGCCGCATGTGGCTCTTTCATCCCTCTGCTGCGGCTCCCTGTCGCCAGTCGGCTCCACAATTGATAGGGCTTTCGGTTAGGACAAGTAAAGGAAAAAAGAAGCTGCTCTAGGAGGAGACTCTATGGTGGGGGAACTGGGCTTCCGGTCGGCTCCAGAATTGAACAGGGGGTTCCTGGTTAGGACCTTTGTGGCTCTTTGAGTATTTAAGGTTGCCTACCCCTGTCCTTGAATATCATCGGGGAGAGTGTTAAATAGAAACGAGTCTTCAGTTTACTGAGAAATCACACAACACATACATGCGCGCGCATACACACACACATCAGTTTGAGGGGAACCATTTGACCTGATGGGACAGTCAAAAGAATTTTTAGGAGCTACGTTGATTCATTTTAATTTTTCAATTGTCCAGGCTGAGGTTCCTCTGGATTTCCTTCCCGTCCTCTCCAGTTAGCGTGTTCCTCCTCTTCCTCAAATCAGAGGCCCCATATAGTGGAAGACTGACTGGAGGCCAATGACACCGGAACAACTTTCCTACAATTTCAACCCTTAAGACATTTCTCTCTTTTTTTTTGGCTGGGGTTTTTGTTTTTCGTTGTTTTTGCTGATCTTTGGTAGGTGAAGATGACGTCGCAGAACCCATCTGTGCTACGAGGCGTTAAAATATATATCCCTTTGAGAGAAGCAGAGAAACCTGGCCATCGGAATCCCCCCCCCCAGCTCCTTCATGAATGTACGTGAATCCTGCCCCCCCCTCCACACCCTTAACTTCCCCATGGATGTTATGCTACGTCGCGATCCTATCCGATTTAAAACACTTACAGAAGAGGTTTGCTTTCTTAATGCACGTGAAAAGACCAATGTTCGATTCGCCCAGCATGAAATCCTATGCAAGGTTCTTCTCTCAAGGTATATAAAGATTAATGCATTTTATACAGGTTGGTTCCCAAATTATGGAAGTAAACGCTAACCGATGGTCCGTAAAGCATCGCTATTGTTGTTATAAGCAGCCCCTACTTCTGTGATGGTGGTGGGCTAGTTTCCCCTTGTTTCCTTTCTTCTTCTTTTTTTTGCTTTAGAAAATCTTCTACCAGTTTTATCTATAAAGCGATACGAGCCAGTTTCTGTTTCTCTGAGGGGAGGAAAGAACAAAGAGGCACTTCTTGATTGGCTGGTAATTCCTAGAGATCCCTTTTTTTTTTCAGAGTTATGTTCCTGACACAAGTGGCGGCTGTGTGACAGAAGACAGCAAGAGATAAGGTTTTTTTTTGTTTTTTAGGCACTTGGCTGCGAGTTTTCCAAGGCAGCACCCAGCTCTTGGCTATGACATCAGAATCGGTTTCTGTCGCACCTCCAGAATATCTGGGCAAAAAAAAAAAAAAAAGGATCACAGTGAGTTACATGGGAGGTTTCCAAATCCATCTCTTCTACTACCTAGAAGTAACCTGTACGCAGGAATGGGCTGCTGGGGTTCGCAGGAGTTCGGGAGAACCTCTAGCTAAGATTCTGGGTAGTTCGGAGAACCCCCAAATCCCACTCCTGGCTGGCCCCGCCCACCTCTCCACTCCCAGGAGTCTCTACACGGCCCGTTTTGGATGCAGGTAAGTGCAGGGTGTGCACAGAGGCTCAGGGAGAGTGAAAAACAGGCCTACTGGAAGTTCAGACAGGCCTGTTTTCAGCCTGGGGAGGCTGTTTTTGCCCTCCCAGAGGCTCAAGGAAAGCCTCCGTAGCCTGGGGAGGGCAAAAATGCCCCTCCCCCACCATGGTGCAGGGGGCCGACTAGGCCACGCCCACCATGGCCACGCCCACCCAGCAACTGAGCAAAGAACCCCTTGCTAAAAATTTTAAATCCCACCCCTGGCTGTACGGGGATACGTGACTTCATTTACTTGTAGAGGTGTGGAGACCATTAATGAGGCGTTTATGAAAAAATGGTGTGGTGGAATGTAGTCTGGATTCAAAGAAGGGAGGGGCTGTTTCTCTGAGGGCAAAGAGACAGCAGAGCTTGGAATGTCTGGTGGGCAGGAAGAGGACGAGGCCAGACCCGCCCGAGTAGTTCACAGAGTGTTTTTATAGTTATTGCAGATAGCTGCTTTAGTCTGGCAAGATTCTGTCTGAAGACAAAGAAGGATAAACGAAAACCACTCAAAAATTATCCACATGTTGTTCTTGGCTTTTTGGGGGAGCCTGACAAAAAGACTTGAAATGTGGAGATCATACTTCTGAAATACCTTGATTATTAAAAAGAAGCGAAATGGAGCCTCTACATGGGGCTCCCCTTGAAGAGCACTCGGAGGCTCCAACTAGTCCAAAATGCGGCCGCGTGGGTGATTATGGGTGTGACTCGTCGCACCCACCTGACACCTCTCCTGCGCGAGCTGCACTGGCTCCCAGTGGTCTTCCGGGTGCGATTCAAGATGTTGGTTACCACCTTTAAAGCGCTCCATGGCTTAGGACCGGGATATATACGAGACCGCCTTCTGCCATCGACAGCCTCCCACCGGCCAATACGTTCCCACAGAGAGGCGCTCCTCAGGCTGCCATCGGCCAAACAATATCGACTGGCGATGCCCAGGGGGAGAGCCTTCTCTGTGGGAGCATCAGCCCTCTGGAATGAGCTGCCCCTAGATGTGCGGATGATCCCCGACCTGCATACTTTTTGCCGTGCCCTGAAGACCCTCTTGTTTCAACAAGCCGGGCTAGCCTAACATGAATATGAATTTTAATGGGTGTATGTTAGTTTTTAATTTGTGGGCCAAATTTTGGTATTTTTGATTTTAAGGGTTTTAAAATTTTTTAAGTTTTATGTGTTTTAATATGGCTGTACACCGCCCTGAGTCCTTCGGGAGAAGGGCGGTATAGAAGTCTAATAAAAGTAAAGTAAAGTAAGGAAGGAAAGCTTTTAACTTCCAAATTGGAACCATCTGTTTGTCAGCACTTCAAGCTGCATTTACTCTAGTGCTGACATATGAAGGAGAAGCGAAGGCGTCTGGAAAGGGACGTTTGACTTTTCACCTACTTATTTTCCCTGGAGATAATATCCCCTAGGAGATGGGATGGGAGGAGGGAAATTCCTTTGAGCTGGAGTAGATTAGGGGTAGAATGACTTGGAAGATGGCCAATGAGTGCAGGGGAGTGGGGAACGGAAAGGGAGGGTTTTGGGTCTGGAAGTCAGTGTTGGCTTCAATGGAGTCGGGTGTAAAATGTCGTGCTTAATAAATAGGAGTTTTTCTTCAAAGACTTTGTTTGAAATGCAATTTATTTGAGATGACCTCGAAACTTGACACTATTATTGTCTCAAGGCTAAGTGAATTATTCTTTAAGTCCCCTTTAATATTTGATCTGTATCTCATTATTTGCCTTTATTTCAACTGACCCACGGCAACCTGTACGGCACTTTAAAAATCTGGTGTGCAGTTGCCTCTTCACCTTTTTCTTTACTTACACATTAGCCCTGATTTGGATCTGGGCCACAATCAGATTGTCAGTCCAACAAGGCAGATCAGGTTAAAAAAACAATTACATATAGGTCCAGATTATTTTTATTGTAATAGCTATAGTAATAGAATATTTCTAGTCTTCTCCCTCCCTTTACTTTCATATGAATTAAGGAGGGGCTTGTCTGAAACATTTTCTCAAGTTACTTTCTTGGCCTGGGCTCAGGTCCTTCTTATTTGACCCTTGACTTGGTAGCTGCTCTTCTCCTGTCCTTCAGAAGCCCTTTACACAGACACATCCGCAGAATTTCATTCTTCTGCAGATCCCTCCTAAAACTTCCTCATCTTGCGAGTCTTCATCATTCCCCAACCCAAGTCCTCACTGCTCCTTTTACTCCTAGCCAGTGGAGACATTGCCATGCGGACGAAAGATAATAGGAGTCCAGCATGGGCCCATGATTCCCTATCAGAGATGAGGAATGGGATTGCTAGGATTAGAACTTCAGAAAGTCCATTGGGAATAATTGTTAAGACACCGTTTCCTGGAAATATCTGAAGGTCTTCCCAATAGCGTTTCGGACTCATAGGAAGTCCAAGTTGTGCAGGCACAGACATTTGTAAAAAGATGCTAATCTCTGAAGGTGAAAGATGTTAGATGAAAGAGCAATAGGTACCAATGCTTTGGTTTTCTGAATGGCCACATGGAGCTGTGGGCAATTTGCAGAAAATGTAAGACTCTACACTGAGATTTAACAGGAAGGAGGGAGGAAGGAAGGCAGGAAGGAAGGCAGGAAGGAAGGCAGGAAGGAAAGGTTATCAAACTCATTGGTGGATAAGCTGAGGACAAGCGCCATTGTTCCACCCTCTTCATTCATTCCAGGGAAGATACACACCTAAGGAATTTAAAGAAGGGAGGAATTGAAAAGCAGAGCAGCCTTACCAGTTAAAATCCGAGGCAAGGGCAGCGTGACATAGGTTAAGTGTGCATAGAGGAGGAAGTTTTCATCCGTTCGGTTCAACTTCAGCCAAGAACCCACAAGAGAACGTCCAGTCCCAGATAATGACCGGGAACGTAGGTTTGTTGCATTATGCAGATCTGTCAAGAGAGAAGACGACGTCAGGAAGGGAACTGATGCATGTGAATTGCCTTCATGAATCAAACCAGGTGGCCTGGTTAGCTCAGTGGGACATCTGTGACCAGGATGCCCAAACGCTCCCGTATACCGGACATTATTGCTAAGGGCAAAGGGCAAAGGTGAGTTTTCCCGCAGCGAATTGGCTGCGGCTAACTGGCAATGGTGAGTTGGCAAGTTGGCTGGGGCAAGTTGTCCCATTCTGGCCTCTGAGAGTCTCTCAGCCTCATTTTAGCAAAATTCAAAAGCAGACATTGAAATGTGGAGAGTTTGATTCCTCTCCCATTGTCGCATTCTGGCCTCTGAGAGTCTCTCACCCTCATTTTAGCAAAATTCAAAAGCAGACATTGAATGTGGACAGTTTTGATTCCTCTCCCATTTTCACTGGGGAGCAAATCAAAAGTACGTCGACAGCCTTCCAACAAGCAAGATGCAGAAAAGGCAGAAACCTCTGCCCTCCCATTCGTCACGTTCCCTTCCTTCCTGACTCGCTGGCCTTTAGCAGAACGCTAAAAAAAAGGTTGGTGCCCACCCCAAGCTCCACTGAAGGGGTCTCCCCAATTCTCGCACCTCCATCTTCATCATCCCGAAAGAATTCCTCGCTGTCGTTGGCCGAGTGGGATTTCTTCATCTCTGCGATTCGATTTCGGGTCACTTTCCTTTTGAGAGATGGGGAGAAAAAGGAGGGCCGGCTGTTGCGTTCTGGAGTTGGCGGGGTGCTGAAGGACGTGACCTATGGCAAAGACATAAACTGTTTCAACTCCTACCCTCAAAACGACGCTATAGAGCACTGCACACCAAAACAACTAGACACAAGGACAGTTTTTCCCCGAACACCATCACTCTGCAAAACAAATAATTCCCTCAACACTGTCAAATTATTCACTTAGTCTCCAGTATTATTACTATTAATCTACTCATCATTCCTATCACCCATCTCCTCCCACTTATGACTGCAAGACTGTAACTTGTTACTTGTATCCTTACGATTTATACTGATTGTTTCCTAGTATGATTTGATTGCTTATTTGTACCCTATGACTATCAAGATGATACATCTTGACGAATGTATCTTGTCTTTTTATGTACACTGAGAGCTTATGCACCAAAGACAAATTCCTTGTGTGCCCAATCACACTTGGCCAATAAAGAATTCTATTCTATTCTATTCTATTCTATTCTATTCTATTCTATTCTATTCTATTCTATTCTATTCTATTCTATTCTATTCTATTCCATTCCACTCCATTCCATTCCACTCCACTCCACTCCACTCCACTCCACTCCACTCCACTCCACTCCACTCCACTCCTCCACTCCACTCCACTCCACTCCGGAAAAATAAGTGACTGGAGTACAGCTCTTGCAAGCTTTCTAAGATGAATGGTAGTGGAGCTGAATAACATGCTGAAATTTCCGCTCATAAGGCTTCCACTATTCTGAGAAACAGCTTTTAATATATTGCCTCTTGTGCTGGATTTAATTCTGATGCTCAAGGCCACAGGTGTCAAACTCACTGCGTCACACTGCCGTCACGTGACGTTTTTCCCATTTGCGGAACTGGGGTGGGCGTGGCCTGCGTGTGACCATCCGGCCCGGGCGCCACCAGTTGGACACCCTCGCTCAAGGCCAACCAAAATGGCAACAAATGGCAAAGACATTTGTGACACAACATGGCGCACTGTCTCCAATAACATACTTTATTGTGAAAGGAAAAGAGAGAAAGCGGAGGTTAACAAAGTTAACTTACGCGCTCATGCAGTGGTGAGCCCGGGTTTGAATCTTCTTCTGTGCCGTAAGGAGACGTGTCACCCGTGGAAACGCGACCCACTGCCATTTCCGCATGTCCCTTGGCCTGAGGCCCCTTCATACGCACAAACTCCATATTATTGTATTTATAAAAACCAAAGGACATTCTCTGGGCCATTTTGGCTGCCACGCTCACCTGCAAAAGAGGGAGTCAAAATTCAAGCCACTATCATCAGCATGAACTGCCAGGGACCTCTTTCAATTCAACTTTTCCACGGTGGCGCAGTGGTTAGAGTGCGGTACTGCAGGGCTACTTCTGCTGACTGCCGGCTGCCTGCAATTTGGCAGTTCGAATCTCCTCAGGCTCAAGGCTGACTCAGCCTTCCGTCCTCCCAAGGTGGGTAAAATGAGGACCCAGATTGTGTGTGGGGAGGGAGGGGGGGGGCAATATGCTGACTCTACAAACCGCTTAGAGAGGGCTGTAAAAAGCACTGCGAAGCAGTATGTAAGTCTAAGCGCTACTGCTATTTTCTGTGAGTTGGGCATTGGATCTGCCTTGGTTACCATTATGGGACATGATGTCTTAAAGAAAGATATGATCAACTCTCCCACAGTGATCAGCAAATTTCCCCACATTCAATCATCATCCTTGTGGACTTTCTCGATTGGACTTACCACTGTTCTCTAATTGTGGCAAGGCTCCAGTGTGAAAAGAAATTTATAACAGAATAACAGAGTCGGAAGGGATCTTGGAGGTCTTCTAGTCCGACCCCCTGCCCCGACAGGAAACCCTATACCCGTGATGGCGAACCTATGACACGTGTGCCAGAGGTGGTACGCAGAGCCCGCTCTGTTGGCATGTGCGCCGTCGCCCCAGGTCAGATCTCTGTGGCATTTGTTTTATGAGCTTCTGTTTCCATGCAAAACAGAAGCTCCCGAAAGAAAAAGATCTTACTTCTGCCCTGCCTCCCGCCGGCCAGCTGGCCTTCGGGTCTCTGCTGTGCATGTGTGCATGTCCATGCATGTGCACATTCGTGCATGTCCATGCATGTGCATATCTGCATGCATTTCCACACATGCACGCTTTTGCACATGCGCATGGACCTTTCGGTTTCGGTATGAGCGTGCCAAAAGTGTGTGGGTGCATGCCTGCACCCATAATGCAATGTGCGTGCGACCCTCCGGTGCCCCGCCTCCCCGGGCATGCAGGCATGACCCCCCTGTGACTCCCCCCGTGCCCTCCCTGCCCCCCCCACACCTGGCCCATTTTTGGTCCCAGGAGGCTACAGGGAGGCCTGGGAGGCCCAAAATGGGCTGCCGGGGGGGGGCTGCACCCCGCACCTCCCCGCCCACCGCACATACGTGCGTGACCCCCCGCCCCCCACACATGCATGCGCAACCTGCCGCCCGCGCATGCACAGCAGAGACCCAAAAACCAGCTGCCCAGCAGGAGGCGCACGTGCATGCAGAGTGGAGCTGAGCTGGGTGACGGCTTGCATGCCCACAGAGAGGGCTCTGTGTGCCACCTGTGGCACGCGTGCCGTAGGTTCGCCATCATGGCCCTATACCATTTCAGACAATTGATTGTCCAATCTCTGGAGGCAAGTTGTTCCACTCATTAATTGTTCTATCTGTCAGGAAATTTCTCCTTAGTTCTAGGTTGCTTCTCTTATTTAATTCTGACACACTGCGCCATTTGCGCTACAGAAGGTTACCCGGGATCTGACCTGGTATTTAATGTCTTTACAACAAATCCGTTTTCTCTCAATCTTGACCAGGGGAGGAGTCACTGCCTTGTTTTAAACAAGGCATGAAATGATTTGAGGAGGGATGGAAGACGGCAAGGTCCTTCTTTCCCTGTTATTATTATAAAAGTAGGCTTCCATCTCCTGCTCTACACACAGGCAAGAAGGCCTTACTGGATGAAAATAACACACATGGCTGGAAAAAAATAACAAAGCAACATATAGATCTGAAATCAGAGATATTCTTGTTGGGCATTCTACCAGAAAAATACGACAAAAAGACTACATATTTGATCTTGCCTATACTAACCGCAACTAGAGTTGTACATTCCCCTCAGATTCATTCTGAGGGGAATGTAATTAAGAAAATATTAGAATGTGCAGAAATGGATAGACTAATGCTTACTCTTAAGGATAAAGAAGAAACTGAATATTTTTTGATATGGGATGTAGTCTATCAATGGCTGGATAAAAGAAAGTAGAAAGGAGATATAAAAAGAGGAAATGGTAAAGGGGAGAGTTGTTAAAGAAGAGGATGTTAAGTATTATTGTTATTATATTATTATGTTACTATATTATTACTATTATGGTGACGAATACCACAACAAAGTTGTGTATTATGACTACTTAAACATAACTGTACCCAGACTACATACTGTTGGATGAAAGTTGAATGTTATATAAATAAAATAAATAAAACAAGAACAAAGGAAGCCTTTCTGGATTGGCGCCCATGTTGTTTGTCTAAGAGGACACTCGGAAGGACACTCACCCTATTATCATAGACCTTCTTGAGGGCTTCATAGCGGATGGATCCCTGGAAAATAACACCTTGGAAAGTGTTGCTTTTGTCACTGGCCACCAGCTCCACACAAACCATCTCACCTTCCCCTACAGTCATGTCACTAAATACCTAACGGAGACATCCAAATAAATCAAAGAAAAAAATAAATAAATTGCTGTAGAGACACTCAAGGCCAGGGGTCTCCAACCTTGGCCATTTTAAGCCAGGTGGATTTCAACTCCCAGAATTCTGGGAGTTGAAGTCCGCCAGGCTTAAAGTGGCCAAGGTTGGAGGCCCCTGCTCAACGCCATTTGTCATTGCCTATGGCTAAATCACAGATGACACACTGAGATTTAATAGCAGTGCAGGAGTCCATACCAGGAAACCAGATTCTCAGTAAAAGGTCTGGGGCAGTGATGGAATTCAAATTTAACGGGCACTCACCCCCTTACACAGCACTAGGGATTCGAACCGTTGAACTGCCGACCTTTCGATTAACAAGCTCAGCTTGTCTTATTTATTTGAAAAATTGTATATGTTCACATCTTATTGGATGTGTTATAAACCCATTTATAAGATGCGATTCCAAAAATTTCCACATTCGATTAATCTCTCTATATGATTAATTTTTTTTTTTTAGACATGAAGTTAATTTTTATCATGACACATACTCCCCAAACTTCTACATTCTTCTACCCAAGGGACCTACTCTCAGAGAGGACCTACCTCTTCAAAGTTGTCAATCATAAAAAATATGTTTGGATAGCTAATCTTCGATTCCTCGCCCTTGCTGTCCATGGGGTGTTTACTTGGTGATGCGAAGACTTGCTGGAAAACACCATTTGGAAAATATGATATAGCTTGCGATATATATACACATAGTAGGACGTTCAGCTACGACCACTAGCAGGAGAAGGAAACGCTAAGTTGATTGTAAACCCTGGATCTTCCATGGATAGATCAAGTGAACAAGGGGACGCAACCCTTCCGATTATATCTTCTGGCATTCTTCCCATCCTTTTAATAGAAGCGCAGGTTTACAAAGGAGGACTTGCTAACATCTGGAACCCCTGCCCACCTGCTTTTTCCATAAGGATATAGACTGGTCTGACCCAGCTCCCCAAACACAACAAACCCTCGGAAGTTAAATCAATGATTCCTTTATTAGGAGTGTCAGCAGCCCCAGCAAAAAGTTTCTCTCTCAACACAGGCTAATAAGTCTGTCCGCCCGGGAGATGAATAGTTGTCTGCCACATCTATTCATCTCCGCCCCTTGCCTTTTATCCCCAGAACTAGGGTGGGGCCTCGCTAGCAGCGGTGGCTCTTCCATCCCAAGGACCAGCCCATAGATTTCCACTGCTCTCCTCTCCTCTGCCTTCTGTGCATCCGCGCATCAGGCACTGGACCCAGCTGTTCCTCCTCTTCCTCATCAGCCACCTCCAGATCTGGGGGCTGTTGACTCTCCATTTGAGGGCTGACGGATGTCCCAGGCTCCGCCTCCGTCTCTGTCTCTCTCTGACAGCTCCATTCCCTCTTCCCAATTGGAGCTCTCAGGTTGCCTTGATGCTGACCCTGACTCCCATGCCTCCTCCTCCTCTAATTCGGCTGTTGGAGGGGCCGGCGGCCGACAGGCCACAACAGAGACATTTTGGGGAAACATTCTCTGAAGACCCAAGAAGGATCCACCCCCATTTTCAACTCAATCCTTATGCCATCTTCTGCAATTCTAGTAAAGTGAATCCTGTTCCATTTTCAGAGAGTAATCCTACTGACAGACAGACAGAATCTCGAGTCCTTCCATATCCTATTGACTTGGAATGAGTAGCAAACTTGTAAAACTGGGCTTTTCCAAACCTTCCCAAACTCTTTACCAACAATGGTTAGGCCTCTGGTATACTCTTCTGGGTAACTAAGGATTGCATTTGCTTCAAAAATTTTAGCAAGGGGTTCTCTGCCTGGTTGCTGGGTGGGCGTGGCCATAGTGGTTGTGGCCAAGTCAGCCTCCTGAACCATTGGGGGGGGGGGTGTTTTTGCTCTCCCCAGGCTCCAGAGGCTTTCCTTGAGCCTCTGAGAGGGCAAAAACGGTCTCCCCAGGCTCCGGAGGCCCTCTGGAGGCCTTCCTGAACTTCCGGTAGTCCCGTTTTTCGCTCTCTCCAAGCCTCCATGTGCGCCCTGCACTTACCTTCATCCAAAACGGGCTGCGTGGGGACTCTTGGGAGGGGAAGGGTGGGCAGGGCCAGCCAGAAGTGGGATTTGGGGGGTTCTCCGAACTGCGCAGAATCTTAGCTAGAGGTTCTTCTGAACCCCTGCGAACCCCCAGCAGCCCACCCCTGCTTACCTCTTAATTTGTTGAATGTGTGATGACAAATTGACTAGGGGAATTTTACTAAGCCCATTTGAAATGCTCCTCAAAGCTATTACAGAGTTATGTCTGAGGCTATCGCTAATTAAAACTACTTGAGATATATAAGGAAACCATAATATAAATTCGTGGGGGGGGGGAATGGGGCAAAGGCTGAAGCCAAAAGAAGGAGGAGACACCCTTTTAAAGTTCCCAAATTGCAGAGCTGCTCACCTGGGACTTCTTTTTATGGATGTGAATATCCCCTCCATCGGAACGAGTACATACCGCACACGTCACTATATAATCCAGCTGAAAGAAAATCAAAGTATTGGTTTGATGAAACACCAATCAGCATCAGGTTTCTCATTAGGTTTTCCTTTGTGTACATGTCCAGATCCCCCCCAATAGAAAATATGAGGTCCTTCGGTTTTCTTTTAAAGAAGTTATCTGGAGCTACTTCACAACAGAAGTCAGATGTTTTCTTACATGTTTCATGTTCAATTGCAACTGAAAGTCAACGCAATCCTACAGGTCACCCTGGTTTTCTATAGCTCTTGCCCACTCTTGGATCTATGGGCTCTTATCTCTCCATCATTCTCCTTCCAACCTTCTTAATTTGTGTGCATGTGAAATTCTCTCAGACTTCAGTTTTTTCCTTTGGCTCAGCCCATTCCTTCTGTCCTGAATCTGTCTGAGCACTGCATAATTCAATTGCTGAATGGCAAGTGAATTCTTCTTCCTGCTCTATTGCTCAGCAAACCACCCAGAGAAATCCCAAACCACCAGTGGTGGGTTCCAACCGGTGTTACCACCGGTTCTCTTCGTGCACGCACTTTTGCGCGCGATCGCCATGTGCATCTCGCTTCACTTGCACGCACGCTGAACTTGCGCTCCGTGCAAGCGCATTAGATTTCTACCCAGCTGAGGCGCAGCAATCCACTCTGCCGCGCCTATCAGCTGAGCTAAAAAACGACAAATAAAGGTAGGTATGATGCAGGGGCAGCAGGCGGGCCTAACTCACAGTCATAGAGAACCGGTTCGCTGACGTCACATCATCACCGGCTTGCCCGAACCGGGCTGAACCGGGAGCAACCCACCACTGCAAGCCACCTCCACCCATAAAATTATTTAAGACAGTGTTTCTCAACCTTGGTAATTTTAAGATGTGCAGACCTTAATTCCAAATGTGTGGACTTCAGCTACCAAGATGTGTGGACTTCAACTCCTTGGCCTTATTGTCATGCACTCAAAAGCCCGATTGGGCTTATTATCAGGGAATGTCTTAATTGGGGGGAAACAGGATAAATAAATAATCCATCCCTCAAAGTTGGAATAGAAATCTAACAAATGAAATAAAATTTTATCCCATAAAATAAAAATATGTTTTCAAAATTAAACTGAAGGGCTATTGATTAATCTATTCATTCTTGGAGTTGGGACTAGACAAAGGAGAGGAAAAAAATTACGATGGGGGGGAGACAACATGAGGCTTAAAACACCTCTTGAACCTTCACCCCAAACAAAGTTCCAAATATTTTGGCCCTGTCCACTTCGGCTTCTATAATTTAGAATCATCCAATGGGTTTGTTCACTTTCAAACACTGAAATACCTGAGATGTTTTCAGAAAAAAACGGAGATTTATTTATGCTGCTGGCTTATTGCAAGAATTTGTTGGCAGCGTTTCAGTTTCAACAACAGAGCACTCGAGGTAGATGAAATCACAAATTAAAACCCAATCCGAAAATAACAATATCACAGGTTTGTTGGTTTGTTTAAGAAAAGCCAAAAAGAGGGCAACTTTCTATAAATCATTACAATCTCTGGAAAGGAAACAAAATCACAAAGGAGCAGTGTGATGTCTGGCACTTCGATTAATAACACCAAAGCTAATTTAAGACTGACAAACCTCCTCAAACAATTAAAAAAAAGCAGTCTGGTTTTTTGGTTTTTTTTTTACTCCAGTACCCCCTTCCAAGTGGCTGCTTAGTCCAGGAGGCACTCACCAGGCAGAGAATGAACAAAACCTAGTATCCTTGTCCACTCTGCCATAGGACCATCAGCCCACGTGTAATCTCTTTAACCAAGCTGAAATTGCTGAGGAACAGATAACCTTACTACAGGTTTAAACCAGTAGTGGGTTTCAAATCCCGGCGCTACCAGTTCGCTATCAGTAGTGAGCGTGCGGCGCTTCTGCGCATGCGCAGAGCGTTTTTGTCTCATTAAAATAATATTTCTCATTAAAATAATATTTATTAAATTTCCAAAGATTAAAATACACAGTACAAAAAGAAACAATACACAAAAAAAAGCAAGGAAAACACACACACACACATACACACACACACACACACACACACACACACACAAAAGATATAAACAACCAAAAACAAACATATCAAAATTTCAATACTAATAACAACTTTTCTGCATCGGTATCTCTAACCTATTTAACCTCTTTACACAAATTCTACTTCTAAATATCTCTATCTTAAACTTACATCTTTACTTAAATTACCTTGATTTCTATTTACAATTCAATCTCATAACAAAAAAAATGTATTTTTGATGATGTCTGGGCGGGTGGGCGGAGCCTCCCGCCACCGCCGCTGCTACCGGTTCTCCCGAACCGGGGTGAACCGGTAGAAACCGACCACTTTAATTGGTTTAAACAGATGGGAAGTCTCGAAATGACCAAGTGATTTGGTGGATCGTGCAGATTCAAGCCAAGATACCATTCTCATTTGCAAAATACCCCGCAAATTGCAGACATCCCCCTCTCCTAACGCCAGCAAGCTTTGGAGAAGAGAAAAACTGAGGTCACCTTCTGTAGTATAAGGTTCAGGTAGACGCTCTCCTCCCAATCAATGTCAGGATCGCCCAAACCTGGAAGCTTCTTGGAATCTCTGCGGTATACTTCAACTTCAACCTGCTAAAACAAAGCCCAACAGTGCGGGTAAGAATCACACTATAGCTAGAAATCTGTAGTATTTGGGGGTGGGTGGGTTCAGAAGCATCATAAGGAAGGACGGTCATTAGTTCACAGGCTCAGGATCAAATCACATATTCAAGTCAAATGTGGATAGCAATATCACCTAGACTTATATACCGCATTACAGTGCTTTACAGCCCTCTCTAAGCGGTTTACAGAGACAGCATATTGCCCCCAACAATTTGGGTCCTCATTTTACCGACCTCGGAAGGATGGAAGGCTGAGTCAACCTTGAGCCTGGTGAGATTCGAACTCCCAAATTGCAGACAGCCGGCAGTCAGCAGAAGTAGCCTGCAGTACTGATTCTAACCACTGTGCCACCATGGCTCATACCTGAATCTAACTAACTCCTCCATTTTCATCCCCTTTTCCCATATATTCAAGTTAATCCGAAGTAGGAAAGAAGTTTCCATTGCTTCCTCCTGAACAAATAGCCCTTAAGAAAAGTTACTTTCCCTATGGTAGATTTCAGTAATGTAGTGTCTAACATCTTTCTTCCATTTAGTATTTTTATTCTTATTGCCTGTTCAGTCCGGTTATATTGAATTTGCGAGAAGGTTTTTTTACAACGTGTTTCCCTGGACACAACAGCAAAGAACACCACGGAGCTGGAACGTTGAGACGTATGTCCTGCTTCTCGCCCGCCCCACTTGCCACCTCCAAATTGCATCCCTAAAGGGGGCGGGTGGCTAAGAAGGGGCAGGAGCCCTGCCATGCCGGGTGAGGGGGGGGAGAAGAGACGGCAAGGGGACCCACATCTCGTTCCACGCATCTCATTTCTCCTCTGCCCCACCTGTCAGAAATGAGTCTTTGTGAGACTCATCGCGCCACCGCCACCGCCTCGTGGAGCAGAACTCTACAAGGCACTGCCGCGATGTTTAACATACCGGTGCAGCCGCGAGCGGCAGGACGCCAGCTGTACCGGTATGATGAAGCTTGCGGTGGTGCTGCAGTTCATGCATGCAACAGCACAACGAGTCTTGCAGAGTCCTGCTCCACGAGGCAGCGGCGGCGGCAGCGGAACACGTCAGGGCAACGGCAGCCAGCCGCTCAGCCGGCACAAAGAACAGGGAGAGGAGGGCATGTTCCCCCCCTCTTTCCTCCCCCTCTGGCCTCGACTCCTCAACTTGTTTTGGTTGCGCGGCAAGCAACCAGCGGAAATGACGGGAGCAGCTGCGCATGATTGTGGGGGGCTTATTTTAACACATGTAATTGGGCTCATTATCCAGAGAGGTCTTAGTTTCGGGAAAACACGGTACACACACACACACACACACACACACACACACACACACACACATGGAAGGAATTAGCTGGTGGAATGAGGTGTCATCCACTTTTCATCCTAGAGGGAGAGGAAAATTTATGAAAGGCTCTTATCGGTGATCCAGAATTTATTTTAGAACTAACCACATTTTCCACTTTAGGAAAAATGTAAATGTTTCCAGTGAAATGCAGTTTCAGTTTTCAAGATCACACCTAGAGCATACAGCTGATGGTCTTCTCTGGTGGACATTATTTGACAGGCTGCACTTATGCTTGCAGATGGTTTGGTTTTGAGTGTTTCATATTTTTTTTAATGTGTGTACGCCACTAGGAATTATTGGATTCCAGTGGGACATAAATGAAAACAAGCAAATAAGTAAATTGCGTTGGGTTTCAGCAAGCACTGAAAAGAGCGGCAAATAATTCATTGGAAAAGGAAATACCTCTATTAACACGTCCTACTATAATTTGGTTGATTTATAATTCCATTTGCAGTCATGCTATTAAAAAGTAGCAGCTCTGTTTTTATTAGTTTGAATGCAGGAAGAAATGGGTAAAATGTCATTTGTGATTCAAGTAAAATCGGGAGGGAAGCAAAATGGGGGAGATGACAGTAATTCATATAGAGTGAAATATCTGCAGCAGAGAAGGAGGGGACAGCACCTTAGCATTTCAAATGAAGAAGAGCTAGATCAGGGGTCTGCAACTTTAAACCCTCAAAGAGCCATTTGGACCCGTTTCCCACAGAAAAGAAAACACCGGGAGCCACAAAACTCTTCCTGTGCCTGACTATTTCTTGAGCAGCCACAAAACTAGCATATGTAGTTGAATTAAACATTCTGTTTTCTTCTGAAACTGTTCTTTTCTTGGATTTATCCATGGTTGGCCTACCAGGGGTTGAAAAGCTCAATAAATCGCGTGCCAGCTGGTGTCGCACATTGGCTGTTGTGATGCATATTTTGAGTGACAGGGAGCCGCAGCAGAGGGGTGAAAGAGCCACATGCAGCTCCAGAGCCACAGGCTGCCGACTGAGATTGGACAAATTATGAGAGGGTTATTGATGAATCCGTACTCTGGAGATTAATGCATTCTCTCCTTCTTGGAAGAACAGTAATCTAGGGACAAAAATCTCAATTTTCTATTCTCACCGGCACCATCAATTCAGCAAACTGTTATTCTCTAAAAGTTGAGAAGCTCACACGCTTAAATCTTTCAGCAAAGTGAAATGTTGATTCAGGCCAACAAAGGAAAGTCTGGCGTAGCCTTGCTCCTGTCTCAGAGTGAGTTGTTTTCCTTTCTGTTTAAAAAAAAAAATCACAAGTGATTTTTGCAGTCTGGAGCTGCAAACTCAGCTCTTTTTAGTGTTTGGTTTGAAGAAAAATCTCAAAAATGCTTGGCAGGTCATTCTTACTGCTTCCCTTTTCTACGTGGCAGATGTTGCCAGAAACTGGACAATTAGTGCTATGCAGAGTCCCATCTGCTTCAAATCACCTCTTCCTTCCAAATACACACACACACACTGCTCTTGAGTTGCTAAGAACGAACATCCAGATTCATTCTGTGAGCAACCCTGACTTAATTTATGTCTGGAATAAGGTATGTTTCTCTTAATGGATGTTAGCAGAGAAGTTAACGGTTTATGTGTAGTAGTAGTCCTTGATTTATGACCACAATTGGAATCAGAATTTCCGTTGCTAAGCAAGGCAATTATTGCTAATTGTAATTATTAAGTAACTCACTCAGTTGTTAAGCTCACTGACTTTGCTTGCCAGAAGCCAGCTGGAAAAGTTCCAAGTGGTGACCCCAGGAGCCAGGGATGCTACAAATGTCTAGTACAAATATCTGAATTTTGACCGTGTGACCATGAGGATCAGGGATGGGTTCTAATTTTTTTTTACTGCCGGTTCTGTGGGTGTGGCTTATTTTGTGGGTGTGGCTTGGTGGGGGGTAATGTGACTGGGTGGGCGTGGCCAACTTTTTTTTTTTACTTTTAAAAGCATTTTTTCTACAACCTTAAGAGGTTGCAGAAAAAAATGCTTTTAGAAGCCCCTGACGATCCCAGCTGAACCGCGCCATCATCAGAGACTTTTTTTTTTACTTTTAAAAGCATTTTTTCAGCCGAAGAGGTTGTAAAAAAATGCTTTTAAAAGTTAAAAAAAAAAAGCCTCTGATGAGGTGGGCAGGATAAGCGAGCGGCAACCGGGCCAGGACCGGTTCGGGGGTGTGACCAGCCAATGTTATTACCAGTTCTCCGAACTACTACAAATTTTTACTACCGGTTCTTGCGAACCGGTGTGAACCAGGAACAACCCACCACTGATGGGGATGCTGCGTCAGTTGCAAGGGTGAGGACCAGTTTTTAAGTCACTTTTTTCAGTGCCTTTGTAACTTCAAACTAAACAATGGTTGTAAGTCAAGGACTACCTGTAACGTCTTCACAAATCATCGTGAATTGTGTGGCTGGAAAGTACCGTGTTTCCCCGAAAATAAGACACTGTCTTATATTTTTTTGAACCCTGAAATAAGCGCTTGGCCTTATTGCCATGCACTCAAAAGCCCAATTGGGCTTATTATCAGGGATGTCTTATTTTGGGGGAAACAGGGTATATAAACATCTGCGTATCTGTCCATTTTATTTTAGTTTTTTAATAATACAAACAGTAGAAAATACCTAGCTTTGGTAGAGTAAATATTCAATGTTATCTCAGTCTTTGTAAAGTCCTGAAGTATGTTTGTATTCTTAACCATCTTTTTCCAGCCATGTCTGCCAAACGGTTTTTTGAATTAAGAATTAACTCTTTGAGTTAGGAATTCATTCTTAATGAATTCATCAATAATGAAAAGTGTGAGTTGATAGACTTTCTGCTTGATGGTTCAGCAATGTAAGACAAGCCCCGTTATATTCTTCTAAAGATATCTTACCACCTGTATTGTATGACAGGGAGTATTTGATTAAGCTTCAGAGGAGAGGTAAAGCTTCACTCTGTCTGATCAATTGTAGTGACAATCAAGTTTGGAGCAGATCAGCCTTCAGATGACATCAAGCCAAGCTGGGAGATTAGGAATGGTTGTTGTGTTGATATCAGGCCATCTTACATGGCCTAGCTAATCTCACCGAGCAGTGGTGGGATCCTGCCGGTTTAACAACCAATTCGGTGATTGCGCCCTTTGCACGCTGCACGCGCATGTAGAGTTTTGACAAAACTAAATTTACGTCTTACTTCTGGGGACTAACACAGCTGAGGCGCGGCAACCTGCTCTGCCGCACGAATCAGCTGAGAGGATAAAGGTAAGTAAAGCGTGCAGGGGCGGGCCCACCTGATCGTCGGAGCGAACCGGTTCGCTCCCAGCTGATTGTCAGAGCTACCGGTACGCCCGAACCAGTCCAAACCGGCTGAATCCCACCCGTAATAACATGGATTGTGGAAGAAAAGAAGCTAAAATGTCAAGATTGAACCGCTTTGCTTCTTTCAATCCTTAACGCTTTTCAACTTGCCAATGAACTGGCGAGAGGGAAAAGGGAAATGGAATGCTGAGAATGTATGAGGAGATCGTGAGAGTTTGGCAACCATCAAGGTCAGCATTGCAGGTGCTAAAGAAAGAGATGGACTGTTCCCATAACAAAAGGATAATTGGATAATGTGATCACCCAGGAGTGGAGAGAAGAGGAAGCTATTGTTTAACTAGGCAAGGCTTTGCTTGGGGAAACCAGAGCTGGTTTTGTTTCTTCGGTACCAAAATGGTGTATCCAATGAAGTTTTACTTTTGGGATTTCAAGGCTCCCGAGAGTGTTTCTTTATTTTGGGTTCACTAGTTGAGGCAGTTGACATAAACTATATGTATGACTAAGTATCTAAGCAGAATAGTTTAGTAATAGCAAGAAACCTCCTGTCATGCAAAGGAATGCATGTCCCACCGAAGAGCTGAGACCATGATTTATCCCATCTGAACACAAATCATGGTCAATTGTGGAACATCTCTCAAAATCAAGGCAGAATGAAAGCAAAAAAAATCTATTAAGCAGCTGGGCATAGGCCTAGTTTCTGACCACTCCACTGACCACTAACCCTAACCCTAACCCTAACCCTAACCATCAAAAGAAACATTATCTTTGTGCAATATTTCTCAATTTTGGCAACTTTAAGATGTGCGGACTTCCGGACTCCCAGAATTCTCCAACCAACCATGTCGGCTGGAAGATGCTGGGAATTTAAATCCACACATCTTAAAGTTGCCAAGGTTGAGAAAAACACTGACTTTTTGAATGGGTCTGAAACTTAGATGCCCATCATTAGCAAACAGCAGGCAACGTAGTAGGGCATTTCATGTGTATCTATGGAAGCCAAAACTCAGGATGACTCTGGCAGCACTTTCTCACTTACCCATTTAATTAAAAGGCGGAAGCTTTTGCAAGCATGCAAGGAAGCATCAAAATGTTTCTCTATTAGGGTTTTGCTAATCAGCTCTGATTCAATTCAAATTGGAGACTGGCAATTTGGAGAGAGAAAGATTTGAATGTGCAATTTGAGAGCAAAACAATTCAATTTATTTTGGGATCTAATTTAAAAAGGAGACCTTTTAGATTGAAGCAGTCTATCGATTTTATACATAAATAAAAATTAGCATGGATTGCTTGCCACAATATCCTTTTAAAAAAAAAACATTGCTTGATAACTGGCCAGATACAAGGATTATTAGAATCGCTTTAAATATATAAACTCTGTTTTATTGCAGTAGTAACCAAGAGGGAGCTATTGAATTCAAAAATGCAATATTGTTCATGCCCAGGGGGATTTTATGTCAAACAAACAGAACTTCTTGTTTTGTATTCACTCTAAGAAGTGACAGGTGGAGACGGCTATAAATCACAAAACATTAATTTCATGCTTTACAAATGAAGCAAATATTTAACCAACAGAGACTTCTTAAACCCACGTGGAGGAGGGGATGGAGGACTTTGACAAACTAGTTTTGTTACCTGAAAAGAGAACACAAAATCAAAGATATATAACATAGTTTCCTGTATTTATATGAAGCTGCATTTCTAGAAATATTTTCAAGTAGATAGAATAAAGCTGAAGTGCAAGATTAGTAGGAGGCATTATTCTCTTTTTGTTCTGGGAAAAACTGTCAAAAGTCTAAATGAACGCAGTTATTATTAGATGTATAATTACATTCTTTATTGTCAGAGTGTTTACAGCGTGGCTACTATTTTGAGACAACCCAGGGCCAAACTACAGGACACAGAGGTTTTGTCATTACAAATGGTGGTTTATAAACAATACTTCTATATACAAGCATACATGTGGTAGGCACATACCAGACAAGCAATGATTCTTCAACTTTACCCGGAGAACTACAATGCAGATCAGGGTGGATTTGATTTAAATCGAGTTGATTTAAATCACAATTTAAATCATGATTTAAATCACTAGTAAAAAGGCTTGATTTAAATCAACTCGATTTAAATTATAATTTTTAAAGAGCAACTGTTATCTCTGCTACTCCTTTGACCCACTGTTGACTCACCGATAGTCCCAGTGTTGCAGAATCTACAGCCTCATGCTACATAACTAAGCTCCATTTCATGCTGAATAAACTAAATTATTTATGTGTCTTAAATAGAAAACTATCTTAAGATTTTTACTCCAAAAGTTTTTTTATTAAAATAAATTCGATAAAAATAAAAAAAATCTGATTTAAATCAAAAAAATCCGATTTAAATTTTAAAAAATCTGATTTTTTTGATTTTTTTAAAAAAAATCATTGATTTTTATCCACCCTGATGCAGATAGAACACGGCGAGGAGAATGATACATGAGGAGAGAGAGATGCCCTCTAATGGCCTCCCTTATATAGACAGTTTCTTAAAGGGCAATAACCCTGCTGACTCATCCTCAGTCTTAAAGGGCTAGTCAGCTTTAAATCTTCATTACCCTGATATTTATAACATAGGAACAACGCTTTATAACGCTGTAGCTTTTACTTTATTTTAACCATTTTCTTCTCTCTGTCTCTGTTTCTCTCTGCCCTCTAGAACAGGAGTCTCCAACCCCTGGGCTGTGGACCTGCACTGGGCCGTGGCATGCCAGCAACCAAGCCACACAAACAAGCAAAACCCCATCCGCGGAATGCAGGCAGCATGCAAAAACCATGACCCCTCTGGTCCGCGGAAAAAACCTTTCTCCATGGATCCGGTCCTTGGTGCCCAAAAGATTGGAGGCCTCTGCTGTAGAACATTATCCCGCCAGAAAAGAGACCCCCTGTTGGTCTTTTGGAAGGCCTTAAACTGGTTACGTGTCTGGGGTCCCCCATGTGTGAAGGGCCCCATTTCCTGGCTATGCTAACATCTGCCCACTATAATATTTCTTAACTTCTATGTGTATGGGGCTCCCTTTGGGGTGCACCCGGAGGCTCCAACTGGTGCAAAATGCAGCCACGTGGGGGATTATGGGAGCGACGGGGCGCTCCCACGTGACACCTCTCCTGCGTAAGTTGCATTGGCTTCCGGGGTACTTACGGGACCGCCTTCTGTCATCAATTGCCTCCCACCGGCCAGTTCCCTCCCACAGAGAGGGCCTCCTCAGGGTGCTGTCAGCCAGACAATGTCAGCTGGCGACCCCCAGAGGGAAAGCGTTCTCTGTGGTGTCACCTACCCTCTGGAACGATCTACCCCCAGAGATACGAGTGATCCCAGACCTCCGGACTTTTCGTCAGGCCCTAAAAACTTACTTTTTTCAGCTAGCCGGGCTGGCCTGATTCCATGTTGGTTTTAACGTTTGATACTGATTTTTAATTGATATGTTTTAAATTATGGGCCAAATTTCATTAATTAGTTTTAATAATTATTTTAACTTTTGTGTACAAATGTTTTTATTCTGACTGTTCATCGCCCTGAGTCCGAAAGGAGAAGGGCGGTACACAAATTTAATAAATAATACTAATAATTTAATTTTTCCTTTTGGACTCTGCTTTTATGATTGTTTCCCACCCAGAATCACTTGGTTGAGGTGGGTGGGTGGGTGAGTGAGTGAGTGAGTGAGTGAGTGAGTGAGTCAATCAATCAATCAATCAATCAATCAATCAATGAAATCAATTTATTAGATTGTATCAGTGACATAAGATAATGTTTTAATAGTGCTCCTAGCCAGCATACTTTGCTTCCAAGGGTGGGCTGCTGGGGGTTCGCAGGGATTCGGGAGAACCTCTAGCTAAGATTCTGTGCAGTTCAGAGAACCCCCAAATCCCACTCCTGGCTGGCCCCGTTCACCCCGTCCCACCCTTCCCAGGAGTCCCCAAGCGGCCTGTTTGGATGCAGGTAAGTGCAGGGTGCACGGGGAGGTTCGGGGAGGGTGAAAAACTGGCCTACCGGAAGTTCAGGAAGGCCGAAAACGGGCCCGTTTCTGGCCTCCAAAGGGCTTCTGGAGCCTGGGGAGGCTGTTTTCGCCCTCCTGGAAGCTCAAGGAAAGCCTGTGGAGCCCAGGGAGAGCGAAAACGCACACACACCCCGCCGCCATGGTGCAGGAGGCTGACTAGGCCACGCCCACCATGGCCACGCCCACCATGGCCACGCCCACCCAGCAACTGGGCAGAGAACCCCTTGCTAAAATTTTTGAAGCCCACCCCTGCTTGCTTCTGATTTACACTGAAGAAATATATTCTTTTTTAACTGGGTAAAAAAAAAATCTCCCTTCAGTTGAAATCGGTACCTATGTCTTTGATCTCCTTTCTAATTTTCGGTCAACTGAAGAGGAAACCCGTTTGCCATTTATGAGAGAAGAACAACAATGGCCCTTCTTGGGAGTTTCAGCTTGTTAACCAACCTACCTTCTTTTCTTCTACGCCATCTCCGCCAACATAGGCCAGCCTCCTGCGGACGTAGAAGAGCATATCATCTTGCCTCGGAGCCCATTTCTCCATAAAGTAGGTGGAAAACATCCATGTCCAGAATACGATGCGGTCATCTTTGAAAAAACCTAACAAGGAAGTCAAAGGGAGGATTAAGAATCCGAGATATCAGATTGCATTCATTGAGTTTAATGCAAAGGTATCAACTGGAAAATTGGCAAGCAGCTCAGATGGCCTCCCAGTTACCCAAGCCCTGCCTCATCTTATATAACACCTTGTCAGTTATTTACCGTATTTTTAGGAGTATAAGACGCACCTACCTTTTCTGGTGAGGAAAAGAAGAAGAAGAAATCTCCCTCTGCCTCTGAGCAATTTTGCCTCGTTGCAGCAAACAGCCTGCTTTACTTTCATTTTCGTTTTCAGCATAGCTTGATTAGCACAAGGGAAAAAAAATCTGTTCCAGCAATTTACCTCTTTGCAGCAAGCAGCAGAAGCCCCAGCAAAACAGCTGAGAGCAAATCAGCTGAGAGTCAGGAGGCCGATCCAATCAACTTGTGCTGATTAGGCTGTGCTAAAGCTGAAAGGAGCTGTTTCTTCTTGCTGTTTGCTTGCAAGGAGATAACTGCTGTAAGGCAGAGGCCAAAGGGTGGGGGCCAGTGGGTGGGCGGGGCTACATTTGGTGTATAAGACACACCTAAATTTTCACCCCCTTTTAGGGGGGAAAGGTGTGCCTTATACTTCGAAAAATACGGTAATTTGTGTCCTGCCTTTATTATTTTTACAAATAAAACTCAAGGCGGCGAACATATCCAACACACCGCTCCTCTTCCTATTTTCCATACAACAACAACCCTGTGAGGTGAGTTGGGCTGAAAGAGAGCGACTGGCCCAAAGTCACCGAGCTGGCTTTCATGGCTAAAGCGGGACTTGAACTCACGATCTCCTGCTTTCTAAGCCTAGTGCCTTAACCATGAGACCAAATTGGCTCTTAGCTCAGTGGCTAGGTGGCTCAGTGGCTAAGACGCTGAGCTTGTTGATCAGAAAGGTCGGCAGTTCGGCGGTTCGAATCCCTAGCATAGGTCTCCTGAGTGAGCAGGGGGTTGGACTAGATGACCTCCAAGGTCCCTTCCAACTCTGTTACTGTTTGTTTATTTTGTTTGTAAGTTCTAATATCGTTTTAGGGCAAAATCTAAGTCTAGCCATCTCTATATTTCTTCCATGGGTTCTCAGGACTTCCCACAACAAAGACCACAATCTCATCAAATTCCCTCTATTGTAAAAATCTTACCGATTTTGTAAGAGAGATTGAAAGATTGAAAAGAAGATTGAAACACTTTCAGGCACAGTGGGGTAAAAATTTACTACCTCAGAAAAACATGTGTGTGGCGGGGAATATTTTCGTGAGGCAAATGATTGTGAAGTTCCTTAGAATTTGACCTCCATTTATTACTGTCTATTACTTAAAACTGTCAGCCAAAAAATGGGAGACTCACAGCATTCTGCCAAGGCAATTTGGCAAGATTCGCCTACATCAATAACTTCACTGCAACCCCTGCTTCGATTCGCTTGACAAACACATTCGGCTTGAAAATGTATTTCCCCAAACCTTTGGCGGGGAGCAAAAGCCGTACAGCAGAAGCATAAAGAATCTTCTATTTCCAACAATTTCTTTGGCTGTAAATAGTTTGTTGAGGGATGAATTAAGACGATGACTTTTCAAATCGGGAAATCCAGCAATGGAAAGATTAGCAAGATTCCCTTCCCTGATTTCTCTGAGAAAGCTAACCACCACCGAGATCAATGCTAAAGACATGGAGCGGCAGATACAGGCAGAGATTGTTCTGGGACAGGGGTGTCAAACTCAAGGTCCGGGAGCTGGATCTGGACCGCGGGGTGCTTAGATCTGGCCCGTGGGGCTGCCCTGGAAACAGCAACGGACTGTCCCATGGTGCCTGTGCCAGCAAAAATGGAGCTCACAAGGGCCGCACGCAGCCCAGGGGTGAAATCCAGCAGGTTCTGGAGAACCGGTAGCGTAAATTTTGAGCAGTTCAGAGAACTGGCAAATATCACCTCCGGCTGGCCCCAGAGTGGGGTGGGAATGGAGATTTTGCAATATCCTTCCCCCAGGAGTGGGGAGGGAATGAGGATTTTGCAGTATCCTTCCCCTGCCACACCCACCAAGCCACGCCCACAGAACCGGTAGTAAAAAAATTTGGATTTCACCACTGATGCAGCCCTCCCGAGCTCCATGTTTGCTAGCAGAGGGTTGCAGGAGGCCGTCACAGCCAAAAACAGAGCTTGTGAGGGCCGCAGGTGGCCCTCCCAAGCTCTGTTTTCGCTGGCAGAGGGTTGCAGGAGGCCGTCCAAGCAGAAAACGGAGCTTGAGAGCCCGTTTTCGCTGGCAGAGCGCTCGGGCCACCACAGGTGCCCCTGACACGAGTGACATCAAGCTGGACATGCCCATTCCCATCGCGGCCCCCCAAGGTCAAACACAACCATGAAATCATCCGATGATACGGGGTGGGATATCAGCAATATGCTGATGATACCCAGGTGTATATCTCCACCCCCTGTCAGTTCAGTGAGGCAGTAGACATGATGTGCTGGTGCCTGGAGGCTGTGAGGGCCTGGATGGGAGTCAACAGGCTCAGCCTTAACCCAGACAAGACCGAATGGTGTGGGTATTGCCTCCTAAAGACTGTGTCGATTGTCCATCCTTGGTCCTGGGGGGAGAGAAATGTCCCCCTCAGAACGGGCTCGCATTCTGGGTCTCCTCCTAGACTCACAGCTAAGATTGGAACAACATCTGACAGCTGTGGCTAGGGGGACCTTTGCACAGGTTCGCCTGGTGCACCAATTGCAACCCTACTTGGATCATGAGGCTCTCCTCACAGTCACTCATGCGCTTGTCACCTCACAGTTGGATTATTGCAACGCGCTCTACATGGGGCTACCCTTGAAAAGTGTTCAGAGACTACAGTTGGTCCAGAATGCAGCCGCACGAGCTATTGTAGGTGCATCTATATACACCCACATTACACCAATTCTCCGCGAGCTGCACTGGCTCCCTATCGGTCTCTGGACGCAATTCAAGGTGTTGGTTATTACCTTTAAAGCCCTACATGGCTCAGAGCCAGGCTATCTTCGAGACCACCTTCTATCGCATAGCTCCCATCGACCGGTAAGATCCCACAGATTTGGTCTCCTCAAGCTCCCGTCAGCTAAACAATGTTAGCTGGCGGGCCCGCGGGGGAGGCCCTTCTCTGTGGCTGCCCCGGCTCTCTGGAACCAATTCCTCCTGAGGTCCGGACCGCCCCCACCCTATTGGCCTTCCGGAAAGCGGTGAAGACCTGGCTTTTCCGGCAGGCCTGGGGCTATTGATCTCGCTACGGCGATCTTGCGAGACCCAGACATGGAATGGCGTGTATGGGTTTTTAATGTTCTTTTAAAAAAAATTTACAGGATATTGTTCACATTGTTTTTTTGTTGTAAGCCACCCAGAGTCCCTAGGGAGTTGGGTGGCATAGAAATGTGACTAATAAATAAATAAATAAATACACCCTGATGCACAACTCTCAATGAAATCTGAGTTTGACACCCTGCTGTTCTGGGATGTTTTACAGTAACTACTTTCTGGTTTAAACTGATGACCATTTTTCACAGTCTAAGCCAGAAAGTAGGTACTCTAGTGTAAAACATCCCAGAACAATCTCCAGTGTAATTTAACATGAATTTAGGAATGTTTGAAAGTATGAAGATTGGGAACCTGGCACTACTCCCCTATACTCTGCCATTTGTAAAGGAAATGTTAGAAATGACATTGTAATTGTCATTTTCTTTACAATTTGGCAGCCTTCAAGTCTTACTGCTTGAAATGGCTCAAAAATACCTATTTAAATCATTTTTTAAAAAGTCTTTGGATCAGGGATTCTCAACTTTGGCAACTTTAAGATGTGTGGACGTCTCTAGCATGTCTGACTGAGGAATTCTGGGAATTGAAGTTCAACATCTTAAAGTTGCCAAAGTTGAAAAACACTTCTCTGGATACCTATACCAAGCTGCAGAAAAGTTGTAAAAAGTACAAACCCATTCTTTTGATAAGTAAAGGCAAACTAACATGTTATTTCAGTAATCTAAAGATATTTTTCTATTTATTCCTCTGATGTTCTTAAAAGCTAATGATGTAATGATGAGACTCACCACGGCAGCAAGTCTTAAATTGGATACTCAAGTAGAATTAAGGCAAAGTCTTACTCTACATTTCAGCTACAAGCAAAACAGTTCATCAGGTGTAACAGATGGCTCAGCTAACTTCATGATGCTTCCAGCTCGTCCATCAAAATTCATTCATTCATTCATTCATTCACTCACTCACTCACTCATTCATTCATTCATACATTCACTCATTCCATACTTAGCTTTTTATGTTTAGAGATAGTGCATTAACCATAATAGTTAATAGGAGTATTACTGTTAATACTTCTTCAGAGCCAACAACAAATATCTGGTTTAGTGAAGGCTTCCTTCATAAAGCATAACAAATTATGATCAAATTATGAACAAATCCTTCTACTTATTACTATAACCTTGTTGCTTGTATCTTTACTGTCAGGTTTCGATGCTATCTCAAAATAAATGAATTTCCAAACTGCCGATCTTTGAGGAAATTTTCTCTTTATTTGGCATAGCGATCTGATCCTGGCTCTTTTGTGGTCAGTACTGATCTTTACCCCCCAATCCCTCCCTTTCCGATCCCCAATTCTCTGCTTCTCATTGGCTATCTTCCAAGCCACTTTTCTCATCCCTTCTTCGTCAGATCACAGGAATGTCTCCCCCTCCTCCCATCTCCAAGGAGACAGAATCTTCAAAGGGATTTAGTAGGCAAAAGTTCAAGCTTCTCCTCTCTTTATATGTCAGTGCTGGGAAGGTGACATTTACAATCATATTGTGTTATTTCGTTTCCTAGTATGATTTTGATTGCTTGTTTAGTATCCTATGACTATCACTAAGTGTTGTATCTTATGATTCTTGATGAATGTATTTTTTATGTACACTGAGAGCTTATGCACTGAAGACAAATTCCTTGTGTGTCCAATCACACTTGGCCAATAAAATAAAGGATTCTATT